CAGCTGAGCCATTTTTTACGGCCAAGCGACCCACTGGAAGCACGGGGCTTCCGGGGCCGCGATGAAGTCCGCAGGGGACTTCTGTCACTGCAGGGGGCTTCCGAATCACTGCTAGATACTCTGTAGCGTTTGATGCCAGGGCTCTTGAGTGAGGTCGGAACAAAGGAATCTAAACTGTCTTGGCTTACGTCGCTGGGGCTGGCATCTTCATCGATCTGTAGTGGCGTCTCACTCGCGGTGCTGCTCGACTCCACAATGATGGAGACCTCGTCACCTTGGGATGTAGTCTCCTCGATGACGTGTTGACTTCCGCTTGACGCTGCAGCTATAGGATGAGCGGCAGACGTCGAATCTCCTTCAGCGGTGAATTCCCCAAGAGGCGCCTTGTAGGCGAAGGCTTGGCCAGTTCTGTGGCTAAGACCACTGGACGCGGGGCACTGGACGACTTTACCGAACCTCGAGAAACTGCCATGTCCGGGATGGCCGAGGACACAGTAGCCGTCTGGTGCAGCGTTGTCATTTCCGCCTCTTAGTCTTTTTGGCCGTTGACCGGGGCTAGTAACGACGAACCCTCGCCCTTGTTCTTGGACAGCGTTCCTGGCTGTAGTGGTGGGAAGTCCTTGGATGCCACTTTAGAGTACGACTGTTGGATGGTGCAGGCGACGGTCGCATGTGGGTCGCCGCAGCGACGGCATGGCAGCGAACATCCCTTCCCGTCATAACCATAGACGCCGCACCACCCACAAAAGGGGGCTGTGCAGTTCGAACGGAAGTGCCCACTGTCACCACATCGGCGGCACACCCGTTGCATTCCCTTGTAGTCACAGGTAACACGGTGTCCTGCGATTTTGAGGTGTTTAGGCACCGGGGACCAGGTCTTCATTTTAATACGAACGCATGGCGTTCTAGCGGTCACGGTCGGACGCGACTCCATAAGTCCTCTGCTGTTGTACAGCACCTTCCCGTAGGGGGACAGTGCTTGGGCGAGGACTTCGCTGGGTACGCGGCACGGCAGGAACAGGACGGTCACTTGGGCCACTTGGGGTCCCAGGGGTACGATGGCTACGCGTTCACCTCGGATGATGAGGTGCGACGCGTCAACGATTAGGGCCCTTGCGGCCTCACTGCTGACGATAACTTGGTAGTTCCGGCCCACAAAGTGCTGAACGCAGTACACTTCTTCAATTCCTACTATCGAAGACGTCGCGTCAACGACGTCTTCGGGACTAGTCCTCTCAGGGACGACGACATCGAAGGCTAATGCCTTCTTCGGTGTCTGGCTTGCCATTATGGGCGCCCACCAGCCTAAGGACGCCCTGAAACGTGCTGCTTAGCTCCTTGGTCTTGACAGCCTACTAATTACATGAAGTGAAGTTACAAAACAAAAGTTCGAGGTGAATTTGAAAGATTTTACAGTCGCGTTCAACTTGCCGTGGATGGATCTTTTCCTCAGATGGCCACCTTAAGTACCTTACTAGCATAACCAAGTTAATGTACTTTTTTGTGAATTCACAAAAGTATTCGCAGCATCATTTTGATTCTTTGGTATGTGTTTTCCCAGGTACATAAACCCTTTAACTGACCCTTTGTGTGAAGGCAATTAATATTTGAAGGGAAGCAAAGAACATGTAAATTTTAGTGGTCAAGTCGCCAACATTTTTTCTTGTTTTGAACGATGCGCATCGTGGGTTTTATTCCATCACGGCGTGGGCTGTATGGCAGCCAGCTGCCTCTTGCTTTTTAGGACTTCCGTAATCACTTTTAGGGGGCTCCTGCTTTCCGAGTGATGTACATACAGGTAAACATGTTTTGTGCGGTGCGATTACGCACTATGTGAGTGCTGCTTAAGGAAACCTCTAATTGATGGCATTGGGTTGGTCATATGTTATGATCACATAAATGAAATATCGGTACTGTTTTGTATTCCGATATATGACATTGAAGTAATAGCGTGTCTTGATCGCCAGTTTTCCCATATATCGGCCTGGCATTGCTTTTGATATCCCGAGGCTGATTACTAACTGATTACTATTCTCATGCCGGATGGAACAAAAGGGGTGAAGATTCTACACATCAACGGCGGACCAATAGCGCTTGCCGGCTTGGAAGGTCATTCTGTATCCTTGACGTATTCTGTATCTATTATGAGAAAAATATACATACTCAAGGTAAAAATTAAGTGATACGCATAGCACGTAAAATAGATACCATGTTAGTGTTCGGAATAGACAGTGCACAGTACGTTATGCTTCTTTGTTTGAGTACGTTATCCTTCTTTGTTTGCCACGAAGGCTATTATTTTATACTTCAGTGTTTCATAGAAGACAACAGCACGGTGACGATAACTACATACATTAATCCAGCATCCAATCACAAGAATGCATGTAGCGTCACTGCGCACCTGTTTGTTTCTTCTGGCTATCTGCTGTCACTTATTGGTCTGCTGGAAGTGATGTTTATTTAATACAGCAAGTTGTTTCACGTTTTGCTGGAGACATACTCAAAAGCAACGCCAGTTCCGCAGGCGTGAATAAGCACACCATCTCGTAGTCCGCAATAAATTCAAACACAAACCGTTTGTGAAAGAAAGTGTTCAGACGCTCTTGCTTCTTCGAGAAGTTTGGTGGTTCGATGCTGCAATTTCGGATTACCTAACTCATGGATACCAAATCTCCTGACATCGTTGTACTGTTCAGAGAATCGTTCCACAAAAAAGTTATTGATGCGATTTCAGAAGCACTTTTTTTCACCGGGATATTATGCCACTGTCGGATCACCTTCAGTGATTGCACTGACGCTGTTTCAGTCAGCTGTTGCTTGTTATTAAGAACTTTTTTCGCCAATTAAGTGCTTTGTAAAGACGGGGCATTGTTTCTGACGCACTTTCTAGAAATCTTTCACCTTCTTCGCCACAATACGAAAAGAAAAGCAATCAAATTATGCAGGAATGGTAATATTATTAATTGTTGTCAGTGGGAGGCCAAGTTATTGGACCCAGGCCCGAACAATTGGGGAAGCCTGATTCAGCGGGCAATAGAGATGGCCTGCGGCTACGTGCAATAAGAAGGCAGCCCATGCAATAAGACAATGCAATAAGACAATGCGCTAGCTCAAAATGAAAGTTTATTCTCTCTCCCTATCTGGGGTTCAACGTCCCAAAACCACCATGAATGAAGGGGTGTGGTTTAGATATAATGTATTCGGACGTTGCCTCTGTTAGTTTACAAGATGCACGAATAAGGAGCTGTCAATTCAACAAATTCTTTTCCCACCTGCGGCAAGACGCTCATCGTTCTAGGCCAGGACAAACTCACATCATGACTCAAGACCTAGAGGAAACAAATCTGTCTTGCACCTACCGCTGACCTGCCCGCAGGGAGGGTTGCGAGTGCGTTTTGCTGCCGACGCGTAACACTGTGTATATTTAGGCAGCCGCGGCGAGCACTTGACCCAGCTGTCTGGAGAGTATTTATGAAGAAAGCCAGCCTCCGTACGCTATTCATACCGCCCTGACGTCATGCTTATGACACACGCAGGCGACCTGGGCTAGGTGCCAGTTCGGTAGTTATTCAACGGGGCCCGGTGACACAGAATTTATCGGGTGATGGAATGCACCTGAGCACGTATGTTTGGGCGTGCGACGCGCGTGTTTCATAATGCATGAAAGAAAAAAAAGAAACTCGCTTCATTAATTAATACTGGTTAGCAATTATATCGTGCGTTAGAACAACGGTATTACCTACGTCGATATCGCTTGCGCTTAGCACAGCAATGACCTGGTACGAAGAGCTTTTTGTGAATGCAGTTGTGCTGTGCGGCGAAGACGCCCGTAACATTGCTCCACAGTGACACTCGATATGCGCGCGCGCGTTGTAGTGTGAACGCAGACAGTCAGAGATACGGGACATTGCTATCAGCTGTTCTCAGTACAAGAATGTCGCTACAAAAATTCCCATCCGCATGCCATGCGGAGTTGTAAGGCCCTTGCCGACGATCGCTCTCACGAAACAATGGAAGGTACGGGAACTACGCAAGCAATGTGAACGCAGTCGAAAGTGCCATCAAATCAGTGAAAACTTTAAGGTCCCAATTACCACTTCTGGCTCGTTTGCCACCGCTTCGAAATGCTATCCACCTGCATACTGAACGTGCATGCACACTCGCCTGTATACTTCTGGCGAATTCTGGTGTGCTCGGACAAGGCTTCTCTAAACTGTCCAAATATAAATGGAAAGCTCGCTAACATTATGTTTGATTAGGACTGCGCATCTTGGCCAACCACCTTTGATATAACATGTTTTTCATTAACGCTTTCTACTGGTAAAAGCGCTCTGGCACTTTGGAATGACTCTGTCACTACGCTTGCTTAGTGAATAAGGGTGAGGATATGAATAACAGCGCAGAATTCAGCATACCCAAATATTTTTATAATGATGAGAAGAAAGTACTTAAATGGCAACAACTAAGTAAACTGGAACAAAATACCGACCGTGCACTAATTGCTTCGATAATATTTTTAAAGACATTTTCTCCGCTTCTCGTGTCGTAATGAGTATACGAAGACGGGGCCAAATTAGCAGAATTTTCTTTTCGTAAGTGCGTTTTACTATTGGTCATCCCACTTCTCTAATGAGATTGTTAAGTAATATCATAACTTCATAGCGTGGCTCATAATAATATTGTCATGTAAGGGCCACATTGTGATTGACCTTATTATTCTGTTATAAACATTGTAAGCGTAATAGGTTTTTTGTCAACACGGATCATGGATGGTAGTTGAACGCGATGCTCCATCTTCGTTGTTAACTATTGCGGGTACCAGCAACGTGGCATACATTTTTTTAAAAGAATGCTTGTTACGCAGCTGGCATCATCACGCTGTTTTCTAACCAGAGCTTCTGGTAGCTCTTCGAAGCGTCACAACCTACAAAGTGAAATCCTGGTCTGTAGTACTACTACTGCTTGCCCATTTCATCGCATTCATTCTGCCAGGTGCTCACCTGAGCGTCGGCTATCCGGTGTCACTCTGTCGGCGCCCTTTTCCTTCCTGCCGTTGTGGTAATCCACACCGCGAGAGACGCCGTGCGAGTTTTTTCCCGCCACCGGCAGCAGACACGCCACCGTGCTTCCAACTCGACGGGGGCACGCGAGAACCACACCACCACGGGGTCGCCGAGAGGAGCCACCGGCGGCTGCGCTGTTGTCGAGTGGACTGACTGGATGTGCCGCCGTCGCTGCGGCTCGAAGACGAGGTCTTCTCTCCCACTCTTCCGCTCCATCTCTCCTACTCCTCCGATTCGCGACTGCCACCCTCTCACTACGCTTCGTGCTCGCGCACCCCCCCGTTTCGCGCCCATCAAGAGAAAACACGGCATCGATGTGGAGGCGCTTCGCTTTGCTAGCTGCAAGCTGGTGGCTGACCGAGTTTTTAGAAAACATGACAAATTAAAAAAAAAAGAAAAAAAAGCTCTCAAGCGCGCGAAGCATGGCGTCCTAGTGGTGCTCTTCCTTGACTCTCTAATTTTGCGCAAACATTGACGAGATTCAAGACACATTATTCCCCCTTACGATGCACCTGCAACATTTGCCATTAGCAGCAGCTAACGCTAATCATCTGTCAGCACAAAGAAATAAAAATCAATCCAACACAATAGTAAACATTAGCATCATGCGTCCAGGGACGCGTAACCAACTTGCACGTGACGTCATGGTCGCAGCTCCATAACGTACTGGTTCACCGTCGAAGAGGCCTTGATGACGCAGAGACAGTATTATCACATCGCGCATAAGCATTACATTCTTCGCATTTAAAGACTTTGACTTTCCGAATTTGGGTTTTTCAGAAATAAAATCACGAAGTCGATACTGGAACGAAAAGAACCGTTCGTGCTGAGTCAGCTCAAGCTAAGGTTGAGCCATTTGTAATGGGTTGCAAGCATCCAACGGCCCACTCGTTACGCAAATCAAATAGTGGGACGCCTAGTCACACACATCGCATTGTAGGACGTCTTGTTGCTGTTTTACTATTCCACCACGCTATATGACGTATGTTGACGTGGTTCCTTCCCGACATAACTATTCTATATGGTCTTTTTGCGAAGGAGTTTCGAGCAGCGGCATGGCTCTGTAGTAGACTACTAGGGCTGTTACTCAGAGAACCCAGGTTAGAACACCGTTCTAGCTTAAATATATATATTTTCTTATTTCACACGATAACGGTTACAGAAACCGACAGCTGCAGTGGACAACCGCGGTGCGAAAAGTACCGCTTGTTGGGTTTGAAATATTTTATTTATTCATTTGATTTGCATACACAGATACACAAGGACACAGAGGAAAGAGGGAGAGAGCAAGCTGGAAACTGCAGCCTGGAGGGGCACAACAACGCCTTCTCACTCTTCCGGGAGGAGGGAAGAAGCAGAGGAAACAAAGTTTAGACGGAAGAAAGAGGAAAGAAGATGAGGAATAAAAAATGATGAGGTCTTCGACGATATCAATAAAAATAAATAAATAATAATAAAAACATCTATAAACGGGTGGCAAGGTCTGTTTGGTTCATAAATGTAAGGAGAGCTCGGTGGGCTTGGTCGCGTCGGAAAGCACAACTATTGAATAGAAGCTTTCGCTGTTAAAATATCTGATAGACCAACTCACCCCTACCATCCTCTTATATAGACCGGCACTCACCCAAACGCCGCGCATTCCAATAATAACACTCGGTCCCGGATAGACCAGTTTGTGTTGGACGCCAAATGATGCCATGGTCGTCTGTTATATGTGAGCTCAAGATTGCGATAACACTACGTGACCGGTTGCCGTGCTTGCAAAGCCGACATGAAGCCTGTGAATTCGTGAAGCTCTGTGAAGGGTGAAGGGCCCCAGTGATTTACTTATTATTCTCGCGTCTCTTGTGTTTTCTCTGCCTGACCAGTCGGTCCACAGTATGCAAATAATAAATAAAAAAATGAGAGCATGACTAGGTGCGTTGAACTGAGAACTTATTGAAATTGTTGTAACATCATTTTATAATTGTAAGCCTTTGGTGCATTGCACGGGCTATGTATTAAGATTCCTGTGATTGGCATACGTAATGCACGTAGTGCATATTCGCGTATTGCTGCGCATCAAACGACATGCTGCGTGTACAGTAAGTCATTGTTATTTAGAGGTACAATCGTCGGACTTTCTAATATTGTCTTTACCACTCACTATTAACGCCATAGCGTTATAAAGCTCGTGTCGCAGAAAACCCGCCACCGGCGTTGGCCCCGTTGGTTGTGAGCGAAAAATCGTCCGTGTGTCTGTGACCGAGAAATCAAGTTACTGAGATAGCCGTGGGAGGCCGCTACTTGTCCGCGCGTGTTCGCGTGATCACACTGAAAAAGCCACGCATTCGAAGAAACAAAAAGCGCTCAAGGTCGTGAGGCGCGGTAGTTTCTTTACCCTGCTACCCCTTCCTGCTTAGCTTCCAGCGCTTTCGTCGGGACGAGAGGAGAGATAATGCAATTGCAGCATACGACAAACCTTTGTAACTCCACTCGCACTGGACGGATTAAAAAAAAATTGTGGCATTGAATTCGTGAGGCAATAAGCTCTTCTAGTGAATTCATTTCATGGTTACTTCAAAAAGTGTTTCAGGGCTCCTTTAATGCATTTTGTTCGACAGGTGTCACGACGAAAACCAGCCCATTTGGCGATAATAGCGCGCGCTGGTCCAATCTACTGTGCGTGTTTGTGTGCGTGCGTGTGTATGTAACAAAACATGTGAATAAGTATGCACTTAGCGGTTGAAGGGCGCAATAGAGGCCGGATTTCGCTATCGCGTACAACTCTTAAAGTCGAAGCTTAAGGGTCCCCCAATTTTTAACCCCGTGAGGAGATAGCAGTTTGAAGATAAGCTCTTTAGAAAGACTTACTTTTAGATAAATAGTCTCTGGTGCTTCCTGTCAAAGCGGATCCTTGGGTGAGTTGGTAGATATCTAAAAATGATTAACATCACACGAATGATACAACCCGTGGGAGAAAACGCACAGACAGAGCACTGTCCGATACGCTGCATGAGTACGCTTTCTTCCTTTAAATGCGTCTCTCTTTGGATGTTTTTCATTTTTAACTTCCTATCAAACTTTATTCAGTGAAAATTCAGACCCCATTGAATGTCCCAATTGCATTTCATTTGCTCGCGCAAAAGAAAGCAAATACGATACGGACATGCGAAATTTAGGTTGTGGTACAGACTCAAGCACTCACATAATATGTTCCTTATGAAGATTAAGAGTGCAAAATTATGTGAAAAACTTATTTTTTACCAATTCATAAAAGGAAAAAAAAATATTTTTGCAGAATATGTCTTAGAGCGGCCAACGTCGTGATATGCTTCTTCTTTATTTCGGTTTAGAACTACAGTTTTCGAATTTCGAGCCCCTATATTCCGGAATAATAATGACCTAAAGTGTTCTTGGCGACAAATAGTGCTGAATTTCTTTTCTATTCGTCCACGGGCTGCTGTGTTCGCTCGCTCGCACTTAAGTGCGTGGTAGATGAATTTTTCTATCTGCTATGTGTCTTGTTTCGCGAGCTTTTGTCAGAGCCTCTGCGTATAGCTAGGGGCGAACCAAGTAATTAGATGCGTAGATGATGATGAAAAAGAATAATAATTCTGTGAAATAAAAATGAAATAAAAAAAGGAGCAATGAATGAATGAAACCAATATAGTAAGAGATGCAGGAGAAGACGACACTTGGGAGCAAGACAGTATGGAAAGAACGAAAGAAAGGCTTCGTGATGGCCAATGCTCATTACAAATTCGCGAGGCTATGCTTAAGCGGGTTCTGTGCGCACAAGCTATAGCGTTGCGTTAACTTTTTATGTACATATTTTTTTCCGTCTTGAAGCACGAACACAGCAACACACAACCTGAGAGCATACAAGGCCTGCTGTCAGGCTGATTTATGATTCGAGGCGGGAACAATCGGCGCGCTTCACGCAAAAACGGAGAGTCAAACATTTTCTTTTCTGAAGCAGCTTGCCGGTCTCCTGGCTTCCTCTCGGGTATTGCATCGGCAAAGCATAGAGAAGCGGAAGGGTCTGCAGTTTTAAGGCATATGTTCATTTTTCTTTTGAAACTCATTCCTGGGGTGCAGTAATTTTGGGCTGCGGTGTATAATGCAGCTTGCTTTCCAGAGAAATTGTCTCTTCATGAATGATCAACATTGTTGGCATAACCTCCTAGCACGCGCCAAAGATGTATGCTTATTTATTCTTTTTTTGTGCGCTTGTCGGCTGAATTTTGAACCATTTTCTACATTTAAGTGGCGAGTACCGGCAGAAGCATAGCTAGAGTTTTTTGTGGGGGAGATGGGCTCTCACCGCCGTTTACGAATGTTCATGTATATTATTTGTTTGCGAGTGTCACAGTCACACGTAAAACGCACGATTTAAGAGTGGGGGACTTCCCTCTCACTGGCTATATACGCCCATGAATGCCGGTCTATTCATCGAAGCGTGAAATGTGGAAATTATTTTTTTCCCTCCAACCGAGGAGCAGTATAACAAGAAGTTACAAAAACATGACGAGGGATTTCAGACAAGGATTAAAAATAGATTAGGCTAGTGTTTTTATGTTAAGAAGGGGGTCGTGATTTTGTCGGCGTATGTCTAAGCTCTTGCGCATGCCAAGCTTTTCGTATTTAAGTCTACGAGAAATCGGAAGACCATCGGAGAGATAAAGAAATAAATCTGTAAAGTAAAATGAAAATTGAAATAAATGAAAACATCTGTGGAGAGATTTAGGTGAAATTCGCACATGACAAGCAATGTAGAATCATTCTGACAGCAAATGTATGCTGGAGCTTGTCAAGCACAGAGCGAACGTTCTGAACATGTGCTCCGAGGCGAGTTCAAAAGCTGACGCTGTCTGACGGTTACAAATCGTGTATCTTGAAAGGGACCCTCAACAGTTTTTCGGCATGGTCAGAAAATACTGCTCATAAGTAGTCGAGACTCTTGGGAAGACGTGAGCCAAACAGGACGTGGTTTAGAAGTTTCAAATGATAACCAAAGTCAGCTAAAATTTTCCTTCTCCTCTTTTGACAAACGGCGCCATAAACCGAAATTACTACTCCATACACGCAAAGTCGATGCCCATTGACTGGTTTTAAGCTTCGTGAGTTGAATAGTTACTGTGGTCGTCGTTGGATGC